ACGATGGCGTCAAAAAGGGTAGGATTACAGTCAACTATAGATGAAAAATTTTGATTTAATTCCATCTCCAAAAAATTCATGAACCAACTATAGATGAATCCATCCAAATAGTATGAATCCCATTCTCGGCTATCACACGGAATGCTGAGTCTCTATTTAGTATTCCTTTTGTTGCACAAAAAAAAAAATCATATTGTGCACTATTTTTCTGAAATGGATCAAATATTTTTTTTTTATAGATATTCATCTAAAACGTTACTTCTGATAATATAGACAACACATGAACCAGATCAAACCAACCACAACTAACAACACCTGGATGGAAGGAGCATAAACATTTAGATTCATATTTATACAAAAGGCTACTTGCAACTCGCAAGGCAACAAAACTACTGGCTGGCAGCACATCACATGGTTTTTTTCCAAAACGAGGAAGTGTGCAAGGGCAATGTGGAAGTTAAGGGGGTCCACAGCAAGGAAGTTGGCAACGCACACCAGCTGCTTTGTCCTTTTGATATTGTGCATCATGTACACATTTTCGTTCACAGAGGAGAATCTTATTACGAGAAGGTTCATAAAATACACAGACATACTGTGCTTAAAAGGTTTCGATGCTGGACCATAAAACACACAGACATACTGTGCTTAAAAGGTTTCGATGCTGGACTCATCACCAACCTGAGCTGCTACCTCGAAGGTAAGATAGTAGGTAAAAAGGCAGTGACGGGTGGCGTACTTGATCTTTTCAACCTTGTATTCTGGTTCCTGTGGCAGAGGGGCATCAACAAAAATTAACTAGCAAGAAGAAAAAATATATTCAGTTAATGATGGAGGTCAAGTTCTCCACCAACAGTTGTCTAAGGATTATCAGCATCTCCTGCAAAACCAAGATTGTAGTGCAAGTACCAGGTCAATACCCAGGCAAACACTCTGATGCCTAAGTTAGAGAGTGAATGTAAGAGTAGAATGGCTAAGAGAAATAATGATAATGAAACCCTAACCTTGGAGGCCATAATAGGATATATATAGGCTGAATAAGGATCAAGATCAATGGTCCAGATCATCCAGGGAGACAGTGCCGTTCGGGTCAAAGATCCTTTCGTCTGGTCTGTTGTCTTTCTCCAGCAGGCCTTGCTTCTCTGATCTACCATCTCTGTCTTTACCATAAATGGTTGTGGCAGCTCAAATAGGTCAGTGCGGCACTTTTCCCTTCGTAACTATAAGTGGTAAATGCGGGCCTCAATATATCAAGTGGATGACCCGCCTTTGGATCCACTTCACATATGGATGGCCCGATTCCTTATAAGAAGTTGACCCTGGTCTTATTTCGAATGGGTCCTATCAACTAGCCCCACAGTCCGGAGGTGACGATTCATCTTTGGAACGTCGCATCTGGACTGAAAAAGCTTCTCTTCTACTCTTCTTATCCCTTGGTTTGAATAGGTGTCATTATGGTTCTGCAAATTTTGAAGCGTGGGGTCTTGTCACTTCAACTGCTTCAAATTTCAAAAAGCCGTGCCCTTTTAATAGCTAGTCTTTTCAAGGATTCTATTAAACTCCTCTCTAAACACTTCTTCTATATTTGTTTATTTTTTCCCCTCTTTCTTCCCCCCAAAGTAGAAGGGTTGTGTGCAAGGTGAAGGATTTGCTTTCTGATTATTTGTTTATCATTTTGACTATCAAGGAAAGCTCCGCTTCTAATGGATCCAGGTAAGCAAAGAGATTAACTTTTTGCTCCGGCGCTTCTTATTTCCATAACAATAGCCCCGTAGATTGGTATTTTATGATCTTGCTTGTTGTTTAGGTGTACCTTATATTTTTTTCGTTTTGGTGTTTGTTTTTCTTCTTTTCATTCTCTTTTGCATGCAAAGTATCTGGTACTAGCAAAATTTATGAAACCTCCTTTGTCTAACCGCTCTTCTCGGTCTTCCCTTCGATAGGAGGGAAAACAGTCCCGAACCATGTCGAGTGTTCAACCATCAGATCCTAAATTAGGAATTAGTGTTTTTACTTCTGATCTAACAGAAGCCCAACTTGAATCGATCAAGACTTATTATAAGATACCGAAAGGTTTTTGTGCCTCTATTCTTGTAGAAGATTGCACTATTGATGACCCTCCAGATGGGATGATTGGCAATTATACCAAATTTTGGGATGTGGGCTTAAGGTTTCCCATTAACCGTTTTTTCTTGAAGTGTTAAACCGTTATGGTGTTTCTATATCTCAAGTGACTCCTAACTTTGTAGCCTATGTTCTTGGTTATGAAGTTCTTAGTATGGCTTTGGCAGTTGAACCTTCTTTCTATGCAATGTCATACTTGTTTAAATTTACTCGATCCAGAGACTGGTACACCCTTTCTAGGCGTTCCAAAGAAAGAGACATTATAAAGGGTGTCTCGGATAGTGTTATTGAAGGAAATATGGTATGGAGGCTTCTGGATCAACCCAAAAAGGATGTGCCTAAAATCCCAAAAGCTTCTAACTTGGTCATTCAGGCTTATATGGATCATGTATTTGGTAAAGTCTTGCCAGAGGCTGCACTTATTTATTATGGGGTGAGCAACCATGGTGATCTGGAAGAGGTGCCAGAGTTTTGAAATTCGTCCGGAAAAGGTAGGATATACTACCGCTACTATTTGTTTACTTTTTTCTTCCTTTTATTGTTTTTATTTTTCCTCTGTGTATATATATATTCCTTTTATTTTTTTTATTTTTCCTCTGTGTATATATATGTACCCTTTATGTAGATGTATTTATTAGTGCTTGGCTATCTTACTTTTTTGCCTTTTGCTATTATTAATTTCTCTGTGTATTTGCTTTGGTAGTTGTCTTTGGTGTGGATATTTTGGATGATGAAAATTTGGATCATTGGGATCTAAAGTTATTGCTTCTGCCAAGGCAAAGGTCGTACCAAATGCCTTTTCCTTATTGCGTCAAAAATGCAAGGGCAGTTCTTCCACAAGCAGCACTGCGGAATCTGACTCGCCTAGCGAAGAGATGGAAGAGCATGTTACTGAAGGGAGCTCAAAGAGGTTGAAGATGATGGATACCATACCAGATATTGAAATTTTATCAACTACAGTGGTGTTAGCAAGGTATTAGCTATGGAGGATGTGTTAAAGGAGAAGAGGGAAGGAAAGCATCCGCTTGCCACTATTCCCACTAAGGGGGTGAATGAAGGTTCTTCCGCTTTACTTGGTGATCCTGTGATGTCACCAGTGATGGCAGCTAGGAAAATTGAACCTTTTAGCACGGACTTTCAAGTTTTGCATTTTGGATCTATTCTCAACAGCTCTCACCTCCGGAAGGATTGGTTTGCTAACATCTCCCCCAACCCATAGGGATTATCTTCTTACCATTCCGGATGAGGATTTGGCTTAAATGGAGACTTTTTCTTCTTTGGAGGTAAGATTATTTTTTTTATTTATTTAACAATTTGTGCGGCATTCTATGGTTTAATTAATGTTTTTTGTATTGTTTACCTACATGGTAATTTTAATGTATATTTGGTATTGTTGTATTTATTTACTTTTCTTTTGTTTGCATACATCCCCCCTCATGAGACATGATTTGTGTTGTTATTGGAATAGTTCCCCAAAAGAATAATTTATGAACATACTTAAAATTATTAGCTAGTGGTAAGCAGGGTCGTTCCACAGGGATGGTAGTCAACCGCTTAAAATCTGATTAAAATGCAGGAAAGAAAGGAAAATATTTGAACAGACTGTCATTTGGGAGAATGCTTGACAGAGTGATAAGGCAGAAGGGTCAATCACCTTCCTACCTTTATGATCCATTTTTGATTGATTATTCATGTAGTGTATGATTAGTTGTTCGATTAGGCACCTATGTAGTATTATAATTCCGTCAAGATAGAATAAGGAGTCCTAGATTATCAACCCAGTCAGAGTCTTATTTAATCCAGCCATTAAGTTCTTAAGCCCTTATAGCCGTTAGTGAATGAAACCAAAGGGGTGGCATTCCTCCTTTATCATAGACTAGATTAAGCAATTCTAAGTTATGCGCCCCCTTCTAGATCTTCATAATCATGCATGCACTTCTAATTAATTGATCAAAAGTTAACTAAAAAGGTTAATTAAATCACTTATCTAGGCACAACACCTCATCAAGGAAACTAAATCAAAACTTTCACATAAAGATAGTAGGGATTGAACCCTTAACTGAGTTAGCTACTCATGCTTATTGAGTTAAGCATGAGAGCAACAGAGTACAAAAGATAGGACATGAATCCTAATCTAAAGGTTAGAGTAAAGGAAGGGAAGATGGTAGCAGACTGCTCACTATGGCGAGTGGCGTTCGCCACTTCACAAAGTGACAGTATGCCTTGTTCCTGCTACTACCCTATTTCTAACCAACTAGCTACTACCTAACTACTATCTTTAGGACTAAATCTAACTACCCAATCTGTTATGTTTTTTACTTCTACTAGCTGGGTATTTATAGAGATTTGGAGATGCTTAGATTGGTGGAGTTCTGGCCTTTTTCTCTGCAGTAGAAAGGTGAGACAACAACTTGCAGCAGAGGAGATTTGTTTCTTCTGCAACTTGGAAAGTTGCAGTGTTATCTTCCTTCCTTAGCAAGGATTCCTCCACTTGCTCCAGCTCTGATCAGTCCTTTCAGCAGCTCCAATTCCAGCAGTTTCAGCTCCAGCAGCTTCAATTCCAGTAGCTTCCAATTTTCAGTCCCTTTTCATGTCTTTTAGTGTAGTTTAGTCCTCAATTATGCTGATTTTTCATATTGAACCCTTGAGATACCTAAACTGCAAAATCACCCTAAATGTAAACTAATTCTAACTAATTAGCACTAAATTATAAGCAGAAATGAGCAGAAATGCTAGGAAAAAGTGTATATATTTTTGTGTCATCACACCCCCCCCCCAATTTTTTTTGTAGACTGCCAATTTGTGTCACTTTTGTCCGCAAATTGGAGGAGCATCGAATTACCTCTTTGGCCTATGAAGAGAAGTTAAAGGCTTTGGAGATGAAGGCTACGGAATTAGAGGAATCTTGCTCCGCCCTCCGGAAGGAATTAGAAGATGCACAGGATGATTTGAAAGTGGCTAAGGATGAGCTTGATGTTGTTCAGGTTGAATTTGGAGAGAAGGGTTGTGGAGTTGGGTGATGCTTTTGCTTAGACTCAAGAGGAGAACAAGAATCTCATCAAGGAGTTGGAAACACACATGATCCACACTTGCTGATTACTGAGGGTATTCCTTACATTTTTAGTGAGGGTTTGGGTAACTCTATGTTCCAGAGGCAGTTCAAGAGGGTGTCGTACTATCAGAAGGCTATTGGTGAGCACAAGATGGCGTTGCACTATCATCCCTTATTTGAGGGTGTGAAGCTAGAGGAGATGCCAGGCTACAACCCTAACGCAACTACCATAGCCCAGGAGGCTACGGTGGCTCTTCATCATCTAGCTCTGGACTATCATAGAGTCCTTGCTGACTATGCCCAGAATCCCACTCCTATACTTATGGATATTCGTGCCAAGCGCCTCCTGCCTAATCCGGAAGCTAGCACATCCCACACTGTGACAGGTCAAGGGTCTTCCGGTGCAGGAGATGGGGAAGGGGAGGTGAACTAGGCAAAGACATCTTGAACAAGACTCTGTTTTTCTTATTCATTCTATCGGCATGTATTAAACTTTTAAAAGAGAAAACTACATACCTTTATTTTGGCGTATCCTGTTGATGTTTTTGTTTTTGTGTGGCTTCAACTTCTGTTGTCCCTTGAGGCGGATGCGGTAGCCTCCTTTGGGTTGTATTTGTTATGATGCCTTTGTGGCAGTAGGATATTCGTGCTCCGGCACTTTATTTCTTATCCTTCTTATTCGTATGGTTTACTTTTCTAGCTAGCTATTTTGGTTTGCCTTTGTGAGGCTTGCCATTTTATTGTGCTTTGTCTTTCAAATGTGCACTTAGGCATGATAACAAATTAAAGTTATTTCCTTTTTTGGGGGAGTGTTCACTACTTAAAGGTCATCACTCTTTGTTAATAGACTCATGTTTAATAAGTCGTGGGCTTGTATAGAACATAAACAGAGAAGATATTTAGCAAAGTTTGTTGAATAATGGAAACTTCGACCACTTTTACTTAGTTTTTACATCATTCGCAACAAGACGATCGTCCAGTACCCATTACAATGATACTCTTTGGCATCAAAATCAAATGTGCAATGCTTTCTGATGAGCGTTTTGCATACCAAAGCAATGAAAAGAAACTTCAACAAGGATTAAATGATATGCTCTAGACAAATAATTAGCCTTTCCTTAGAAATAGAACCTTTTGAGGTTGGATTGATGCCATGTGCGGGGTACGACTTTCCCATTCATTTGGACAAGAGTGTAACATTCCAGATCTGTGGACTTGTGCTATCTTGTATGGTCCTTCCCATTTTGCATCCAGGTTCTTGTTACCAGCCACCCCACTATAGTCATTCCTCAGAAGTACCAGGTTTCCCACCATGAGTTTTTTGTGTTGTACCCGGGCATTGTAATACTTCACTGATTGTGACTTGTAACATGTCTCCCGGAAAGCAGCGGCTTCTCTTTTTTCTTCTACCAGGTCAAGGTTTATTCGGAATTTTTTTCGTTATGTTCTTCCGTGATGCTTAACATCAAGACCGAAGGCATCCCTATCCCCACCGGAATCATGACTTCACATCCGTAGACTAGACTGAAAGGTGTTTCATTGGTACCCTTCCCAAGGGTGGTCCGGTAGGACCACAGGACGTGTTGTATCTCTTCTCCCCAGTTTCCCTTGATCCCTTCTTGTTGGATTTACAGTTCTCGACACCAGTCCTGGAAGGGGTTTTTTGCAAACTGCTTCCCATTGTCAAATATGATCTTTTCGGGCATCCCGTATCGACATACAATGTTCTTCCAGACAAAATTCAACACATTCTTTCCAAAGATTGAGGATAACAGAGTAGCTTCGACCCAATTGGTGAAGTAATCAATTTCTGGAGTTTGAGGAAAAGGACCGACGATATCAATTCCCCATTGAAAAAAAGGCCACGGGCTGGTTATCCCAATCAGATCTTTCGCGGCTTTCGAGGAATGGGGTCGTGTCTTTCGCAATCTCTGGATCTTCTTACCATATTGGTCACATCTTTTTCCATGGATGGCCAGTAGTAACCATTTCTTGAGGCCATCTTGACCATTGCTTGTGCTCTAGTGTGGCTTCCGCAAGCACCCATGTGTAGTTCTTTAAGTACAAACAGACCTCTCCCGGCTCCAGGCATCTTAGCAGCGGTTTTGTGAATGACTTCAGGAATAAGACTCTGTCAATCACCCGGTACCGCTCAGCTCTCAAAATGATCCTCCGGGCCTCTATTCTATTTATCGGCAGTATTCCCTCTTCAAGATACTTCCGTAGTGTCTTTGTTTAACTGTCTTCTGGAGGAGTGCTAATGATTTCTGCTACCCTGAGTCTGCTTGTGCTCCGGACAGCCAATTCTTCCACTAGAACCTTTTTGGTTAAGTGTGCGGTGGCAGAGGAGGCCAGCTTGCTTAGGGCGTCCGCACGCTTGTTTTGGGAGCGAGGTACTTGAACCATCTCGAAGAGGTCAAACGTGGCTATCAGTTATGTAACCTTAGCCAGATACTCCATCATGGAAGGTTCTTTTGCAGCATACATTCTGTTGACTTGGTTGGCCACCAACAACGAGTCACCGTTGGCTATCAATTTTTGTGCTCCCAGTTGGTGTGCTAATTCGATCCCAGCTATTAACGCTTCATACTCCGCCTCATTATTTGACACTGGGAATTGGAATCTTAAGGCATAGGTGGTTTTTGTACCTTCCGGATCTGTGGTGATTAGACCAGCTCTTGCTCCTTCTGCTCCGGAAGCACCATCTAGAAAGAGAATCCACACATCTTGCACTTGGCTTTCGCAGGATGTCTCCTTGGGCCTTTCCTCTTCAACTTTCACTTTCGGACGTGGCATTTCTGCTATAAAGTCTGCTAGTACTTTCCCCTTGGCGGCTTTCCAGGGCTAAAAAGTGGTATCGTACCCATTTTGCAAGCCTTCCGAAAGCTTCAGACTTATCCAGTATTTGCTTGAGAGGCTGCTTGGTTAGCACGCATATAGGGTGTGCTTGGAAGTAATGCTTGAGTCTTCTGACCGTCTGTACTAGGGCTAGGACCAACTTCTCTACATCTGGATATCTAGATTCTGCTGCAGCCAAAGCCTTGCTGAAATAGTATATTCGTTGTTCCGTGTCTCCTTCCTTCTAGAACAGCACAACGCTAACTGTTTCCGCAGCAGTTGCCTAGTAAACCCTAAGGGTTTCTCCTTTTACTAGGGTTGCAAGGGATGTCATTTTCTTTAAGTATTTTTTCAGCTCCTAGAAAGCTTATTCGGCTTTCTTCCCCCATTTTCCCTCTTTCAGGATACTGTTCTTTCCTTTTCGGATTTCCCCTTTCATGATCTCAAAGAAAGGTAGTGACCTCTCTGCATATTTAGATAAGAATCTGCTTGAACAGCTTGTACCTTCTTCGGGTTGGCTTGTAATCCCTCCATGGAAATGACATGGCCTAGGAATTTTTCATATCGGACTCTGAAGCTGCACTTCTCCAGATTCAGCTTCATATTGTTCTTCCGGAAGGAATCCAGTGTTTCCTGAATATCCATAAGTGTCTCTGATACACTCTTGCTCTTGATCACCATGTCATCTGCGTACACTTCTATATTGCGTCCCAGTTACTTTTCAAAGACTTTATCCACCAGCCTTTGGTAGGTGACCCCAGCGTTCCGAAGTCCGAACGACATCTTGGTGTAGCAGTATACTCTCTTATCCGTAATGAAAGCTGTTTTCTTCGCATCTTCTTTCGCCATTCATATCTGATGGTAACCCTTATATGCATCCAAGAAACAGAATGCTAGGAAGCCTACCAGAGCATCTACCCTTTGGTCAATGATGGATAAGGGATAACAGTCCTTAGGGCATACCTTGTTTAGGTCGGTGTAATCCACGCACATGCGCCACGATCCATCTAGCTTCAGCACTAATACTGGATTAGCCAACCACTCTGGATATTGGACTTCCTTCATTATTCCTGCCTCCACTAGCTTTTGCACCTTATCATTAATGACTTTGCTTCTATCGGCCGCAAAGGGCCTTTTCTTCTGCCGGATGGGCTTCACTCCTTCTGAAATGTTTAAATTGTGTACTGCTGTTTCTCTCGGGATTCCTGTCATGTCTGCTGGGCTCCCAGTGAACACATCCTTATAACTTCTTAACAGCTCCACTGCTTGGAGTTTGATAGCCTCTGAGAGATCTTTGCCTACGCGGACCTTTCTTTCTGGATTCTTGGGGTCGACCAGCACAGCATCTACTTCTCCCCCTAGCAGGGGTTCGTCTCCCAGATTTTTGGTCATCCACACGTAACTCCGGTAGGGACCGTCAATGTCCATGGCATCTTCTTCTTGCCTTTCTTTCTTCTGCAGAGCAATTCTGTGCCACTCGCATGCTGCGTATTGATGTCTCACTACGTAGCAACTTCTTCTGTAGTGGGGAACTTCATCATGAAATGTAGGGTTGACACTATGGCCTTGAACTTCTCAAGTGCGGGCCACCCTAGGATCACATTGTACGAGGACCCTGCTTTGACTATGACAAACTCAACATACACCAAATTTTCAGTGGAGTAATCTCCCACCGTTACGGGAAGTGTGACTATCCCTTCTGGCCATATGGTACGATTGATGAAATCCACCAGAGGGGTATTCACCATCCGCATCGTCCTCCATACCTCTTCTCCGTACTGAACAAATCAATGCCAATGCATAATCTCTGCCGAACTTCCTCCATCCACATAGATTCTATGGAGGGATTTGTTTGCAATCTTTCCACGGATAACGACAACATCCGCTCCTACTCGACGTTTCGGTATGGGATCCTCAAAGGAGAAATTGATTATTTCGGAGGGCCTAAGCCTACAGTTGTCGGTAGGGGTGTTAAACCGGCTGGTTAACCGGTTTACCGATTAATCAGTCTCGGTTAATTCCGGTTTTGTGAATTTTAGATAAAATCGATTAACCAACCGATAAAGTAATCAGTTTTACAGTTTTTGTTTATCGATTTTAAGTTTAATTATCGATTTTTACCGATTTAACTGAAACTATTTGTCTTTTTTTTTGGACAAAATATAATTGATGTTTTTACAAATTTTTTTTTCTAATTTATATATTTCATATTATATTTTTAGATCAATCCAATAATGAAATCTTTTTTAAACTCTCAATTTAAAATAAAACAATCAAACCCCTTCATTTTTATAATAGTCCATCCAACAAAAAGCATGTTATTACAACATGTTATAAAATAAATATGTAAAACTAAAAAGAAAGAATAATAGCAGGAGAGAATAAGTTGAGAGAGAGAAAGAGAGAATTGATCTATGTATTATTCTGCGGAGAATGATCTCCTCTTATGGGCAAAAGATAAAAAGATAAGAGCTAATAATGATAACATCTAACTAAGATAAGATCTAACTAAAATATTATCACTATGTATTTGATCCCTTGTATAACTTTTGTGGCTTGTGGACATCCATACCATTAAATATTTATAACACTCCC